CCAATGATCCCTTTCAGTCATTACTGACACTCCACACACTCACAATCCTGCACCAAGTGATTCAATCTTCCGTAACGTTGTCACGTGTTCTAAACATGACAAAAAAAATCTATCCCGATAGCGGTCCTCCTCGGGTAATTCATGGCTATTTACCCACCCACAGTTTACCATAAAAAAATACAAACAGTAGACTGGCAGTTTACCAACTGTGAAGCAGTGCTGCAAGAACTATATAAGCGGCTCAGTGCGCTGTCTTGTCCACATTGATTGCTCACTAAACAAGTTTTAATTTAATTTGCATATTTTTTTTACCTACTTTCACCTGAAAATTCTCACGTGCCTCATTCTGTCTATGCATTCCAGTTTGTTCGCACAAGTGGCAATTGAGTAATGGTAGTATAACCCAATAATAGTTTTTTAAACACACCAATACAAAGACTATTTTCATACAGCATTTGCCACTAATACAGTTGGAATGTCTGGAGAATCTACAAGGTACCAACCTCTACAGGAATGAGTGCTCCCTGAGATGCAAGGAATGAGTGTTTTCCAAGGTACACATCAAACATTTTCCTAATTCACCAAACCTAAAACGAATTTAATTGCACCAGCTTGCTAAAACTGTCCCTGTTCATAAGCTCTGTAATGTTCAACAATCTTAGAATTTTAAAACCTCTAAAAATATCTCCTTGAACCTATTCCTGACTTGCAAATCCTACGCTCTCTTTTCAACAGTTTTTCACAACACTCAATTCACACTACCAATTATCCCAGATATAATAATACCAAACTTCAACTATTCAATACATTTGAGATTGAAATGTAATACAAATGCACGCAGATATGATCAAATCCGAATGACCAAAAAGCTTTCCACCTCACACGAGATACTGAAGGAACATATCAGTTTGTTATCGAGTGCAGGAGGAGATCCACACGTCCAACTAAAACACACAACACTGTGTGGCTAACATAACAGGAGGCAGTATCTACACAGCAAATTCTCAAATGGCCTCTACAAGATCTAATGTTATAGCTTAGAATGGTAATAACACCAAGCTTGAGTAGGGCCGTGTTTTGCTGAAATTTGCATTCTTTTCCTGTGTAAACTGACGGCAATCAGTGATGCAGGTTGAAATGGGCATTCTTCTCAAGCCAATATAGCCTCCAATACATGAAAAATATAATACCTTAAAGAAAACTTACATACACTACACAAATTAGTTTAGTGTAAATCAATATAAGCTCAAGCAGTTTTAAACATTAATGCTTTACAAAAGAAACAAAAGAACCAATAAGTAATATGCCAAAGCATACAAAAAATATATAGTTTAGAAATTAAAACCGGCTCTGTATACATAACCTGTTTGCTACGTTACCTCTTATCTGGTGTACAACATTTACCTGCTCTCTCTGATATTAAATGCTGCGCTTTGTATAGAAAATTAATGTGCAAATGCACACGTGTGTGTGTGTGTGTGTGTTTGTGTGCGCGCGCGCACACACGTGGAACATAGTAGCTACACGAGTGAGAGAAACGAGACAAAAAAATAGAAGAAGCAATCATGCATGTAATAGATAAAATTACAGACAATCAGACTGAGTCACTGAACCATAAACACAATAAGAAGCCAGATACATACTTGAGATGAAATAGAACAAACAGCACAGGTAGTAGTTCAGTGGTAGTGAGTTTTAAGATAGATTAAATACTGTACACCGGTGGCACACCATGACCCTCGCCTCTTGTCCAGCTTCAAGGAACACATACAGGTTGACCAGACCACACACTAGAAGGTGAAGGGACGACGACGTTCCGGTCCGTCCTGCAACATTCTCAAGTCGACTTGAGAATGTTCCAGGACGGACCGAAACGTCGTCGTCCCTTCACCTTCTAGTGTGTGGTCTGGTCAACATACTTTAGCCAAGTTATTGTGACTCATCGCCTGCAACACATACAGGTAATTGACCAATATTAATTCCACACACACAAGCAAGACGGCCACAGAGATGGCTTGATAGAACAAACTAGCATGCGGGAGCACATGCAGCTCAACACAATACAAGGATAAACCACTTCAGGGAGAGTAAAGCAGGAGGAGAATGCACTCGGGACGAAAGTTGTGAAGGAAAACTCCTTATACAAGTTCAAATCCCAATATGATGATACATTTGTCGATGTGCACATTAGAATCACACGTAATGTTCCACTACACACACACACACACAGAAACTATATGCGATAAAAGTGCAATAAACATACAGTACGCGAAAGATGGCCGTTTACTGTAAGGAAATTGTGTTCGAGCACTTTGGTGATTTACTGATCACCATTGAGGAACATTAGAAGTATTTAAACCAGGCCTACACATTTAAGATTAATCAGGCCATGTTCATTAAATGATCTTTTTATTTTAAAAACAACAAGACTCAGTATGGCATAAAACTAAACAGTTTAATTTGTTTAACATACCCAGTCTTCAGCACGAGTTTTAATTAAAACGGACTATTCCTTATGTGGCCTATTATATTTCTTTCAATGACCTGTGTACCTGATCAAATACGATTCAAGATGAACAATAATATTATAAATATCACGGTACTATTTCCTCAACTGTTCCCCCCGGAAATGGGGATTAGTAAATCACAAAAGTTCTCACCGTTTCAATTCATCGTGGTCATATTGCATGATATATAAATCTTATTTGTACACTGTAATCCTACTAGGGTATATATTACATACAGTATACCAGCATTTTATATTATATATATATATATATATATATATATATATATATATATATATATATATATATATGCGGAAAATCCACAGAGAAATATGAAATGAGGTGAACGTTTCGGCTTTGTTAAAGCCTTTGTCGACACCAGACTGATTGGGTCAGTCTGGTGTTGACAAAGGCTTTAACAAAGCCGAAACGTTCACCTCATTTCATATTTCTCTGTGGATTTTCCGCATAAAATGATCAGTGTTTTGTGATCGTCAATTGCATATATATATATATATATATATATATATATATATATATATATATATATATATATATATATATATATATATATATATATATATGCACATCTGCATGGTTATTATATATAACACATACTGTACATAAACAGTTGATGTATATATATATATATACACACACTATGAAAAATGGTACATCTGTTGCCAAAAAGATACAACAGATACAGTATACAATCATAGAGAGCGAGACAACAGCAGCAGCATGGTCGGGCTTACCCTTTATCATAAACACTGGATGCATAGAATGATCACATTACAACAAGTAATGAGCACAACAATTACATTTTATACTGCTAAATAATTATCCCACACCATTACCTTTTCACGTTCAAAACAAAAAATACATAGCTAATGAAAAAAAAAAAAATTACAGGTAACAGGATCCTAAATTTCATGCACTTAAGATGACAACTGTAAATAGCGTTCGGGAAGAAATTACAACACTGGGATATGATGGGACGTATAGGCCCCAGGGTAAACACAGGACCTGGGGGGGGGGGGGGAAGGTGGGAGGGTGGGGGTGGGGAAGGTGGGAGGGGGGGGGTGGGGGAGGGGGAGATGTGAAAGGTTACTTAGCATACAGCATTGAGGGGGGATCACCCTGTGTGTTCACATTATAATGGTGCCAACTATGTTTATTAATGGGGAAGGGAAGGGGGGGATATGGTAGGGTAACTACGAGGAGAAAGTGCTAAGGCAGTATGACTATACAGTGGTGGCACTTTACGGGGAGGCAGAAGGCTGCCGACAAGGCAAAAGATGCATACATCTTTCCAGTCACTTATTCCCCCCCCCCCAACGTAACAAAATCATAATGGTTGTACGTGACATTCAGAGCTGAAACCTTTACCAAAGTAGTATGGAATGTATTATGAGGACATTCAAATAAATGGTTTAAGATAGAAGTTACAAAGAAATGAGTGATAGTGTAATGCAAGGCTTTGTTATGTCTGCTCAATTTGTAAATAAATATGGATGGAACAATGTTGTGATACTAGCAATTCTCACAAGAAAATGTCAAGGCCAGAAGGCCGTATAGCTCAACAATTAATTATCATTCTTATTAATTATCTTATTATTATTCTTATTAATTCTCTTATTAATAATAATATATAATTATCATTATATATTAATTAGTAATTATCATTAAGGATGCCAAAATCAGAAGACATGAAGCAGCTTCACCAAAGTGTTTACAGATGAATATATGACTCAAGAGGTACAATGGGAAGTGATGGCTAAGAGAGAGAGATGGATGTTTAGAGCAAAGCTGGATTGGAGTCACAGTACATATTGCCATGCCTTACCACTACAGTACTTCCTAGTACAACTAGCAGGCATCAAAAGATTAAAAACAAAATGTTAGAAAGACTAGGGAGTTAGTTTCTGAAGGCATGAGTAAGGTGGCATAGTTGGACTTGCCTTGAAAATGTTAGGTTATCTTGAGACGATTTGGGGGCTTAGATAAGCCCCCCCAAGACGATTTGGGGGCTTAGATAAGCCCCCAAGACGATTTGGGGGCTTAGATAAGCTCCCAAGACGATTTGGGGGCTTAGATAAGCCCCCAAGACGATTTGGGGGCTTAGCGTCCCCGCGGCTCGGTCCTCAACCAGATCTCCTTTTTTTGTTACACACCCCCAGGAAGCAGCTGTCTAACTACCAGGTACCTAGTTTTACTGCTAGGTGAACAGGGGTATCAGATTAAAAGAAACTCTGCCCATTTATTGCCTCCTCCACCGGGGATCGAACCCAGAACCTCAGAACTACAAATCCGAAGCACTGTCCACTCAGCTGTCAGGCCCCTTCGAGTGTGGCAGGAGGTAGGGACAGGAGTAGAATACTGAACACATTGAGAGCCCAGGCAACTCCCTTCCTATGATGGATTATTAAAAGCAGAAATGTAATGCTCCTAAATAAGAGACTTCAAAGCAATATACTCTCATCTTTCTTTAAGTTATGGGAGATAACCCCATGGAACGAAGATTTAATGAAGATGATAAAATAAATGTAGAGGATGTATGGAAAGAACAAGATGGCAGAGAAGGCCAGATAAGGGACACCGAGTACATGAAAAGTACGGCAAAGTCTCCAGTATCCAGCCATTGGCCTACTGAAGTACCTACAGTGCTCCATCACTTGACACAACACAACCACAAAATTGCCACCAACTCTTCAAATATACTCCATTAACATACCAATATAAAAAAAAAAGAATACATTGGAATCAAAATTAGAATGTTATATTTTCCATGAATACCAATTCCTCACCAAAGACCCAAGTCTAAAGAATTATCATTTTTAAGTCAAATTGAAGAGTTTATATGTTATATACTTAAAATATGAGCAATGGTACACTGCCACCAACTCTAAATCAATTGAAAAGGCACAACAACACACCATGTTATACAGCATGTTAACATTAGACCTTAACAGCCTACAATTCAAAGGTAGAGAGCCACTGAACAAGGGGATCAGCCAAGGCAATAAGGTGGAATAGGCCCCCCAAAAATGACCACCGACTCGCCAGTGCAGCACTATATCGGATCTTAGAGCTTGGTGGTTCCCAGGGAATGAATGATCGACCATTGGCCATGTCTGGCTAGATCAAAGTGCCAGTCCTTTGCCAGCCAGGTGTGACTGAGCATGCAGGGTACTACAGGCATCATTGTTCTCCCATTTTATGGATAAACATCTATTTTTTGGGGACCATGCATGTATACACATCATTGGTGACTCCATAAAAGGTATTTACCCGGTAGTTCTACACTTTAAATCTGCTTTGAGCACCACTAACTTACACTAGCTGGCAGGATACTGGTGACTCTACCCAATAGGTGGTTCAGGGAGGCCCCAAAACCAATAATGTAATCTACAAAGGTTTGGACGTCACAATCGGAACATAATTGACAAACGGCAAACTAAGGAAGAACACCAAAGATCCTAATGGCAATAGAAAAGGGTAGAATATTATGTTTAAAAGGAGTTGGTAAATTAGTAATTATTATAATTACTGGGGTGATCATAGGTACCGCAAGATTTCAGCTGTAAACGTGTACTATACAACAACAGGACCGAGTGAAGACAAGAGGTGATCCACTACAATGCTGTAATTACACTAGTTAGCAATTGCTAATCACTTTGGATTATCTAAGAGAATATACAGTACAAATTACATTTTGAATTAGAGGCAGTTCCAAAACCTACTGATCTACATGCAATTACACTCTGGGGACGCCTCTATATCTGACCTTACAACTACACTCATCATGCTCCAACAAAGAAATCCCCATAACAAAGTTAACAATGACAAAGCTGGATGGAAGGGTCGCTTAAACCTACAAACCAAAAAAATAAAACCACAAAAAATGATAAGACACTATTTCATAGAGCCTATATATGAAGAAGAGGCGGAGATAAAGAAATAAGCCCATATTTCCCAAGTCGACTAAAACGGATTGTTATACTCTTCATTTTAATCTGGCTTCTAATGATAGCTTACCTATGGTATAATCATGCCAAACGAGGTTTAACCTTTTCCTAGTACTAGATTACTTACTTATACATGTATTAAACAATTCAAAGTTGACAACAGAAGACAATGACACAAAATCATAGACAAATCATTATATCACGCATGTGAAACAACAGGCATTTCCAGACTTGATGCATAAGTATTGACGTTTCCACAACCGAGTTAAACCAATTTTACACGAAAACTTTTTAATTAGCAATTATCACATGAATAAAGCACCTCCTGGAAATATTCTACGGGTGTTGCCCACAAACGCATCTTTCTATAAAAATATTTACATTCTATAAGCTTGTATGAAATCCTGTATATATATCTTAGGTAGACTGGATCACAATAGTTTTCAACGAGTAACACTTTATCAGTCTCTTACGCCTCGCTCTTCAATCGTAAAATGGTTAAAATCACCGCCACAATCTTGGACGTCAAATAGCTCAAATACATTTATGTCCTCACATAAACTCTGACTAGACTACATTAAATGAAGGAGTTCATTTTAACCATCACAACTCGTCCTCTCAACTAATACAACAATGTACGGTTACCATACAGTACGGCGTTACGTTATCTTACCATAATGTACACCGCACATTACGGTAACCAACGTAACAAACGCAATGTATATACTATAAAAAGTAGCGGCTCACAAAAAAATCTACGTTTTCTATGCTTCAGTTGGTTAGGCTAAGTAGGTGGCTTGGGTTCGTGCATTTTTGGTTAGAATAGGCTGATGGACTTTGTATGTTGGTTGCACATTGAGAGGACGGCTCACTACCATATAACAAAACCCTGGTAATCTGCATCAGTAAGCAAAATAACATTAGGTCTATATTTAAACAATACACAGTGAGTTTGGGGAAAAAAAAAGAGAGCGAGTGAGAAGAAAAAAAAGAGAGAATTGGCAAACTTTACAAATACAGTAAATGAAGACCAAAATAAAAGACCTGTGCAATGAATACGGCATAATACAAAACTGAGTGCACAGTATTATACTGGTATGGTCCTGTATGGTCAACACTACATACTGCAAGCCAGGTACAGATAGGCTGGATGATACAGCATGCATATAATGTACACCACTCAAGTCTAATGCCATTCTCATCAACGTCTTTTACTCGAGTTTGTGTCATATCTGTGCCTAGATTTACGCTATACTTCCATTCAAAACAGCAAGTGAAATGCTTTTATAAGTGAAGTGAATGAAAAAAAAAAGCATTTCACACAGTGAGACTTCATATTACTTTAAGCCATTTGTGCTATGCACTTGTAAGTGATAATACTGTATAATAACTTGTTATATCACCAGCAAGGGCGAGCCTTAAATTTTATTACTTTGTATTTAAACGTTTGTTTTATATTATTAATGAGAACTGGACCCACTTGCTACCTATGCTGTTAAGCTTAATATATGGAGGCCAAAGAACTATGCATTACCAAAGTTTGAAACGCGACCTACGACTGAAAACGAAGAAATGACTATGTTTCGGTCCATCCTGAACCATTATCAAGTTGTGTAATCAACTTAATAGTGGTCCAGGATAGACCAAAATGCCGCCGTTTCTTAATTTTCAGTTGTGGATCGGGTATCAACCCTTCGGCCATGTTATCGTGACTCAATGCGTGCTTACCAAGGTTTTGCTACACTCTCTCTTCCATTTGCTAACTTATTAACAGCTTCACACACCTCTCCCTGCCAGATAATATTCAAACGGAAGGCACAAACTGCACATTCTATGGAAATATATTCTCTCACTTCCAATGCCAACAATATTACTACTTGCCCAACCAGTTATCGTCCGCTGCTGCACAATTTGCAGTCAATGAAGGCATATGAAGAGTTCTCAAACGCTCAACAGTTTTATTGGTCGTTGTGCCGAGCGTTAAAAGCCTTTCTTGAACAATAACTTTCCCATCGTTATCACTAAGACTTTTACTTAAGGATTCCCCATCACTTTCAAGGTCTCTTATTACACTATCCTTAATTAGATCACTGTTCCAATGTGGTGATGGGCTGTCATTTCTGGTTTGTACCATCATATGGTGTTTAAACAATTCATACACACTCCAAGATATTGCCGTTCCTGGCATCTGGTACAGAATACGAGCATGTATTCCCTTGAAGAACCCCGGAAACCCATTTATCAAGTAGATGGTTCGGAAGGCTCCCATAATGCCAATTACTCGTGACTGCTGCAGCTGGACCAGGGCAGAAGTTTCCTGCGTATTAAGAACCGTTTTACACATATCCAACGGTGTTGTGACCGCCGCTGCCACAGCTCCCGCCACGGCTCCTGCTACCATGTGAGCTTTAGGGTTGTATTCCCTCTCCGGGTTCATGACGCTCTGCAACTTTTCGTAAGTGACAATGTGAATAGCGTGGAAGGGAACATTCATCACAAGTTGCGTTGTAAATGAACGGTAGAATGCTTTCACACCCTCGCTTCGGTAAAGCTTTCGCAAACAGTCAAAACACGATCTGTATGGGCTGTTGTACATCTGCATCCTTTGCTTGATAACTGAAATGAAAATAATAATTTGTAACTTTTAAAATGACATTTTCTAGATTGAATATTGAAGGTCAAGGAATCTGCTAGAGTAAACACTAGAGATGCTTATCTGACAAAAGAAATTTGAAGAAAAAAAAAAAAGCGTTCAATGTAATGAAACGCCATTTTCTGAGTGAGACCCGGAGGCTCCCCGGAGCTTACTAGGCTCATATGCTAATGTCAGACTTTGGCATCAGTCATGTGCATGGAGTTCTGTGGGCCTACCCGGGACCACAAGCCAAAACCTGGCCCCCTCAGAGAGGCATTGGGAGCAATGGCCTATAGATACCCCCGTGTGCATCCAAAAGTCAAACAAGTGATAGAACTCCCCTAAAAGAAACAAGCATGACGTCACAAGTCACCGCGCTGCTGTCTGCGCAGCTACCCCCCCCTTCCCGGGAGGGGGAAGGAGGAACCCCCAGACCCCTCACGCCAGCTATCCATCCATCAGTTCTGAGGTTGGATGTCAAAACACACGAAAACCCGCTGACTGGAGGGAGGGATGCTGGGGAGCCTCCGAGTATCGCCCAGAAAATAGCGTTTCATTACATTCAACGCTGGTTTTCTGGGGGGGAGCCCCTTTGGCTCCCCGGAGCTAACTACCAACAGAGGAAAAGTATAATAGGGACTTACCCGGGAGGCGGTCGCTGCTCACTCCTTAACTCGAGCTCGAGACAACTGGCTGCAATCGCCGACCCAAAGTGATACAAGCCAGACTGGGCCCAGGAACGTTCACGAGGTAACGGGCAGCCAGGACCCTGATTGACTGCTAAAATCCCCGCGCCCGAATGTCAGTCCAGGACATGTTGCCAAAGACGGCAGCAAGAGTAGTGAACCTACGAACGTCATGGGCACGGGGATAAACTGCAGGCTGGGTAGCCTTAATAACTCTGCGGACGACCTGGAAGACCCGCACCCGCGAACAGGGAAGAAGGGAAACCGAATCAACCCAAAGCACGTCCCTGGACACAGAAGCTGTGGCGCGCAAATAACGGCGAAGAGCCACAACCAGACACAAAACATGATGCACCCCTGGCCTAACCAATCAAGCATCAACAACCCAGGGACCCCTCAGAAAGCAGCAGTCTCATTCTTCGCCAGAAAAGGAGATGGCTGCAGATGGACAAAACCATCACAAAGACCGAAAGAGCAGAAACCCCTGCACTGGAGAAGAGCATGAAGCTCCCCAACCCGACACCCAGAGGACTAAAGGAATGAGAGCCTTGGAGAGAATCCTGAACCGAAGGGTCCAAAACAAACTGAAGGGAAGAAAGATAAGAGAGCACTCTGTCCAAAGACCAGGATGGCTCAGGCGGTGCATGAACAGGCCAGAGGTGAAACGCCACGAGACAGCTTGCGAAACCGTGCAGAACTAACATCAATGCCAAAAGCAAGGTGCAGCGGCTCTGTCAGTGCTGCACGATATGAGGCGACAATATTCGGCATAAGATGACAGTCCTGAAACAGTCAGGAGAGAAAAGACAAGAACACCCGAACAGAAAGCAAATTACACCTACGAAGAGACAAAAAGAAACGGAAGGACCACCAAGAAACTTCATACTGCCGCCGAGACGAAGCACACACGTGGGACACCATCAACGAAGTCACCCGATCATCATACAGATGGTGATATACCCCAGTCAAAAATATCAGACCTGAAGTCTTGGAGAAGATTGAGTTGAACACGTAACGGACCAGACTGATCACCTGAAAGAGGTGGTGCCACGGGAAAACCCCCTGGGTTCGAACACCGAACAAGCAGTGCCTGAAACCAAGGCTAGACCAGCCACCAAGAAGCCAGAAGGACTACTCTCCACTGGCAAATCTCCAAGCAAACTAGGACCTAGAGTAACAGTGGAACTGGGAAGAAGAGGTACGTGTTCGGTAACCCCACCTCGACCAGTCCTGCCAAAAATCATCGACTCCAACACTCGCAGTCGGGGAAGGGCGCCACATATACTGGGAGACACCTCGACCACGCTGACGAGAAGAGGTCCACGTCCGGCAGAGCCAACTGAATGAGTTGGCATCGACTATACATTCCAAAGACAGAGGGAATGAACTGGGACAGGCCATCCGCCAGGACATTGGACACGTCCCTCCCCCTCACCTGAATGAGAACGGCCAGGAGAGCCAAACCCTGAGAACTCAGCAGACGAGTCACTCAAAGTGACCAACCCCAAAGAGCCAAGGACCGCAAATAACCCCCCTTGGTTCAGGCAATGAATTCCCGGGGAGCTGTCCGAATGGAGTCTGATCGTTGATCCGCGAGCAACCCGAACCCTCCGAAGTGACATCCACACTGCCGCAAACTCCCACACCGTGCTGTGGACCCGACGGAAGGACAGACCCCACCGCCCCTGGCCGGCCTGGTGAGCACTGGTCATAAAGCCCCAGCCAAGAAACAATGCGTCCGTGAACACAAGTGAGGAATGGGTAGGCACCAAGACACCGAACCCCGAAAAACCTGAAGAGGAAGCCGGCAACGCAAGGTCCCCGGAGGCCGAACCCAGTGGTTGGGGAAGAGGCAGAAGGGCTGTCCCCAAAGAAACCAGAACAGCCAATGAAGCAAAACCCGACCTGGCGGGTAGACCATTACGGCAAAGTTCAGGCTCCCGCTCAAACCCTCGAGCAACAGCCGAGTGACCCGGGAGCCCCCTCCCCCCAGAAACAAGCGAAGGTGGGAGCGCAGCTGAAGCAGAGACTCCTGAGAGAGAGAAGGAAGCGGTCCAAGTCCCACACAAGACCCAGCCAAGTCTGAACCTAAGAGGGAACCAAATGTGACTTCTGCCAGTTCATCAGGAACCCGAACCCGGCAAGCTGGGAAAGAACCAAATCCCTGGCAAGCAGACACGTGGACTGGCTGGGAGCCCAGACCAGCCAGTCATCGAGGAAGGCCAGAACCTGAACACTTGAGAGATGCAGATGGGCCACCACGACCCAGGTAAGTCGTGTGAAAATGCAAGGTACCAGGTTCGACCCGAACAGAAGACAACGAAAGCAATAACAGTTGCCTCACAACAAAACCGAGCTAATCCCTGAACCCCAGGTGAATTGGGACGTGCCAATATGCGTCCCGGAGGTCCAGGGACACCATCCAAGCACCCAGCTCCAACAGAAGCCGGACCTGGGACTGAGTAGTCATCTGAAAGGAGGGGCAAAAAATCCAAGGGTTCAGGCGGGACAAGTCCAGAATGAATAGCAGGTCCGCACAGTCCCACTACGGGACTGGGAACATAAGGGACTGGAAACATACGGGAAACCCATCTGAGAGACGACGTCGTTTCGATCACGCTCAAGCACACTCACTCCGAGGTGACCCGACAGAGCGCAGGAGAAGAGGCCTGCCCCACCAGCCCTTAAGGGGCCAAGAGAGTTCGAAGATGAAAGTTGTTCAATGTCAACCAAAATTTTTTGACTCGTCGTATATGAAAAGGGACTGCAATTGGTCTAAGTTTCAGTACTGTAGCCTAAATAGAAAGGGAGATTTATTTTTTTGTTGTTGTTTTTTTCAACGAATATTATACATTTTCAAAAGAGTTCAAACCTTTCACCTTTTCAGATATAATAATTCTATAACACTTTTCTGACACATTAGCATATAATAAAGGATCTGAAGAAGGGGATTTTCCAAAACATCTTTTAGTTTCCTCAATACAAATAGTCAAAGTTCCTCCCAAAAATTATGCAAATAAATAATGTTTATTGCTATATATAAAATCAATAAATGAACTTGAGAAAAAACGCTTTCTTCAGATTTTAGAGACAATCTTTACATATAAGGTGGAAGTTTCAGGTAAAGTGAATAAAAATGAAAGAGTACCAACTCATTTATGTTACTTCAAAAATACATCATTAAATATTAAAGTCTAAGGTGCTGCCATCTGTGGCTGACAACTAATTTCCTGGCCCCCTTGGCACCCTCACAGATAGGCTTACACGCCGTCACGTGTAGTCACGTTTCATGCAAATCGTCCGATAAACAAATAAGAAAATCAAATTGAAAAAAACAAAAACACATTTTTTTAACTTAATTTTTTTTAATAAAACTAATTTTAGATTTTTTTAATATATGCTATTGTGATAGCTGAGAGCCATAGACATGATTTCAGTTGACACTTGTGTTTGATAATCATTTTGACCATTTTTGAAAATTTTTGACACACAATTCAATATTTTTTCTCTCTTCCTATTTGTGCTATGATGCTGAGATTTGGATGAGATGAAACCTTTTTCATATACAACTCGTCAAAAAAGTTTGATTGAAATCGAACCAGTTTTCATTTTTTGTCATATTTGACTCTCTTGGCCCCTTAAGGAGGGGCCACCCAACTCCACTGCAGGCCAGCTGAAACGATCCAAAAAGCTCACAAATCGCGAGACCAGGCATGAGGGAACAGAGTGAAGCCCCCCCCCCCCACTGCCCTGTCAATGGGACGAACTCCGAAATGGCCGATGCCCTTTACGAAAACCCGACCCAGGCGCCGACCAGACGAAGATGGGCCCAAAGGTGGCACCGGCTCTGAAACTAGCACTAGTGGCCTATCACGACTAGGCAAGGAAGTGAATGAGATGTATGGCAAGTTTTGTGAAATATATGATAAAGGCACAAAAAAATTTATACCAAAACAGAGATGCAGAACTAGGAAACAGGATTGGTTCAATAGAAATTGCGAGAGGGCTAGAGACCGAAAGACACAAAAATGGAATCAATACAGGAAGAGGCCGAACCCCCAAACATACCAGCGATACAAAGATGCGAGAAACAACTACACGGCAGTGAGGAGAGAGGCAGAAAAAAATTTTGAAGAAGGGATTGCGGACAAATGTAAAACAGAACCAGGTCTATTCTATAAATTCATAAACAACAAATTGCAGGTAAAGGATAATATTCAGAGGTTGAAAATGGGAAATAGATTCACGGAAGATGAAAAGGAAATGTGTGAAACACTAAACGAAAAGTTCCAAAGTGTGTTTGTACAAAATGAAATCTTTAGGGAACCAGATACAATAAGAATTCCAGAGAACAACATAGAACACACAGAGGTGTCTAGAGACGAAGTGGAAAAAATGCTCAAGGAGCTCGGTAAGAACAAAGCAGCTGGCCCAGATGGCGTTTCACCATGGGTTCTGAGAGAATGTGCATCCGAGCTCAGCATTCCACTTCACCTGATCTTTCAGGTATCCCTGTGTACAGGAATCGTAGCAGACGTGTGGAAACAGGCTAACATAGTTCCAATCTACAAAAGTGGCAGCAGGGAAGACCCCCTCAATTATAGACCTGTATCATTGACAAGTGTAATAGTGAAAGTATTGGAAAAACTAATCAAAACTAAATGGGTAGAACACCTAGAGAGAAATGATATAATATCAGACAGACAGTATGGTTTTCGATCTGGAAGATCCTGTGTATCGAATTTACTCAGTTTCTATGATCGAGCCACAGAGATATTACAGGAAAGAGATGGTTGGGTTGACTGCATCTATCTGGACCTAAAAAAGGCTTTCGACAGAGTTCCACATAAGAGGTTGTTCTGGAAACTGGAAAATATTGGAGGGGTGATAGGTAAGCTTCTATCATGGATGAAAAATTTTCTGACTGATAGAAAAATGAGGGCAGTAATCAGAGGCAATGTATCAGAATGGAGAAATGTCACAAGTGGAGTACCACAGGGTTCAGTTCTTGCACCAGTGATGTTTATTGTGTACATAAATGATCTACCAGTTGGTATACAGAATTATATGAACATGTTTGCTGATGATGCTAAGATAATAGGAAGGATAAGAAATTTAGATGACTGTCATGCCCTTCAAGAAGACCTGGACAAAATAAGTATATGGAGCACCACTTGGCAAATGGAATTTAATGTTAATAAATGTCATGTTATAGAATGTGGAATAGGAGAACATAGACCCCACACAACCTATATATTATGTGAGAAATCTTTAAAGAATTCTGATAAAGAAAGAGATCTAGGAGTGGTTCTAGATAGAAAACTATCACCTGAGGACCACATAAAGAATATTGTGCAAGGAGCCTATGCTATGCTTACGAGTGGAACCCCGAGCCTTGGCACAATCCCTTCGGGAAGGCACCCCCAGGACCCCCGGACGTAGTCCAGGGGATCCTGGGGGAGGGTTACCTCGTTGATGGGGTTCTGGGAGCTCTTCTACTCCCCAAGCCTAGCCCGAGGCCAAGCTTGACATGTGAGAGTTTGGTCCAACAGGCTGTTGCTTGGAGCGGCCTGCAGATCCACATATTCACCACAACCCGGTTGGTCCGGCACTCGAAGAGAAAACTAGATAGTTTTCTCTTGAAGATGTTCATGGTTGTTCTTGCAATATTTCTTGTAGTCGCTTGAAGGATGTTAAACAACCGTGGACCTCTGATGTTTATACAGTGTTCTCTGATTGTGCCTATGGCACCCAACTTCACTGGGGCATAAAGGGACATAATTGGCAGACCCCTCAGTGTTCAAGAGAGAACTGGATAAGCACCTCCAAAGGATACCCGATCAACCAGGCTGTGACTCATACGTCAGGTTGCAAGCAGCCTCGTTGATCAGTCCAGCAACCAGGAGGCCTGGTCGACGACCGAGCTGCGGGGACGCTAAGCCCCGGAAGCACCTCAAGGTAACCTAAAGGTAAGGTAACCCCAGCTCTTCACTGGTTCTATTCCTCGTTTTCTTTCATATCGTTCATTCCAGTATGTTTTTAGTAGTTCAATGCTCTGAACTATCACCGAAATTGACAAGCATTCCAAAGCTGGTCAACACAAACCGAAGCACTTCGGTTACCAACACATAACGCAGCACTTCAACAATCATTCAATAATTTAGCATCATTGCTAAAGAGGATAGATTGAAATATCTTAATAATACAGTAGTTGCATTATAAATACAATATCATATACACAAATATACAACAATTGTTCCTACCATCTGCAGGTACCATAACAGCATCATGGAAGAGTGTTGCCCCACAACCAGCACCAGCTGTGAAAACAAAATTGATGAATTAACTCGTATGATAAACAACATTTATCTTCCTAAAATTAAGACAAACAGTAAGTAAGTACGTGAAAGATGACAACTTTCCCCCCAAACACGAGAGCATGCAACAATTTGGAGAAGATACCAATTAATGCACTGTATTCTTGGTTAACGAACCGCCTGGTTCAGAGACGAGTCTGCACCACAGGGGAGGGGGGGGGGGGGGGCGCAGTCGTCTGCTCCATGGGGGGGGGCTCAGTCGTCTGCTCCATGGGGGAGGGGGGCTGCAGTCGTCTGCACCACAAAAACTTTTATTGTGTGATGTTAGTGCAACTAGTCTATAATTTTTTCCAAAGCTTTACTACCTCCCTAGTGCAGAGGAGCTGTATCTGCAGATTTAAGTGCTGCTTGTATCTCCCTGTATCCAGGCTCTTTCTCCATATTACACTAAGCACCCGCGCTACTGGTACTTTACACTTCTTTATGAATATTGAATTCAATGAGTCAGGACCAGGGGCTGAGTGCATGGCCACGTTGTCAATTTCTTTCGAAGTCTTTGGAGTTTGTGTTAATATCCATTATATTTTCTGCAGCTTGGATATCATTCAAAAAGAAGCTGTCTGGATCATCAACTTTCATGTTGTTTATTGGTGTGCTAAACATAGCCTCATACTGGCTTCTTAGAATTTCACTAATTTCTTTGTTGTCCTCTGTGTATGTACTTTCAGTTTGTACAGTAATTAAAGGTCCAATACTGGTGGAGGTTTTTGATTTTGATTTTGCATATGAACAAATATTTTGGATACCTGGTTGATACCTGCTTGATGGGGTTCTGGGAGTTCTTCTACTCCCCAAGCCCGGCCCGAGGCCAGGCTCGACTTGTGAGTGTTTGGGCCACCAGGCTGTTGCTTGGAGTGGCTTTTTATTATCTCTTTTGTAGTCTTCCGTTCCAATTCCATGTCCTCAGACTCGTATGATCGCTTCAACGTTTGCTCTTTCTTTGATCTCCCTATTTACATTTATTTTCCTTTCTTGTGATAGTTGTGACTGTTTAAGCTTTTCGTGATTTTTTCCTTCTCCTGCACAGTTCTCTGCGTTCTCTTTCTTGAGGGGGCCTGACAGCTGAGTGGACAGCGCTTCGGATTTGTGGTCCCGAGATTAGGAGTTCGATTCCCGGTGGAGGCGGAAACAAATTGGGCAGAGTTTTTCCATCCCGATGCCCACTACCTAGCAGTAAAAAAAAAAAAAAAAAATAGGTACCTGGGAATTAGACAGCTGCTATGGGCTGCTTCCTGGGGCTGTGTAACAAAGGAGGCCTGGTCGAGGACCGGGCCGCGGGGACGCTAAGCCCCGAAATCATCTCGAGATAACCTTTCTGACCCTCCTCATCAGGCACATGCATCAAGCAAATCTCATATTATGCTTCAGCTGTTAGTTGAGCTATTCCCTGTGTGGGAGTTTTTGTCACTAAAGATGTATATCCAATGCTGCTGGGAACTACTCGAACCCGGAAACGCACACGGGGAAGGATTCTCGAGGTTATTTTGAGATGGTTTCGGGGCTGTGTCCCCGCGGCCCGGTCCTCGACCAGGCCTCCACCCCCAGGAAGCAGCTCGTAGCAGCTGTCTAACTCCCAGGTACCTATTTACTGCTAGGTAACAGGGGCATCAGGGTGAAAGAAACATTTTGCCCACTTATCTCCGCCTTCACCGGTGATCGAACCCGGAACCTCAGGACTACGAATCCGAAGCGCTGTCCACCCAGCTTCACAGCCATAAAACTCTCCTGAAACACAGAAAGTAGTTTCCCTATGCTGAGCACAGGGAAGCTACTGAGGAGCCACCACAGAAAAAGACACACATAGGCCATCTTAATGTTTTGAAAAAGTAGGCAGACTACAGGATTAATGGTCAACCATTCTTAGAGAAGCATACAAATAGGATACATACAAATGACTTACCATTGACAATATGGTTGTGGAGCGAATTATTGGAGCCAAAGGTAGATTTAATTCCTTCATATGCCGAGAAATAAAATGCATGGGCAGGACCAGCTCCAAGAATGACAGCATTTACGCCACCCATCGGTCTTAACAATCCTTCCGAATTGACCATCTTCACCAAACCCTCTCGAATCGATCGATACGTAGCCTCTGGAGATGGAGCCAAACTCTGCATCCGAGTCTGAAAAACATTTAGGCAACTGACAAACCGACCTTAAAAAGGCTTTAATTTTAGAAATATTAACAAATTTATCAGTATTACGTCATGTCTCACTTCTGTGGGTGGAAGGAGATGGGGCAGTGCCGTCTTTAACGTATAGGCACACTGGGAGGTTGGCCAGCGCCCCATGATTCTATGGGACCCAACATGCTACCATATTGTTTATGAGAGATCTCTTGGCAGAGTGGATAATTAGCTGACCTCCTGCTGGAAAGGCCTGGGATTCAATCTTTTTTTTTTAAATGATATTTATAATATAAATAATTTGCGCACAACTATGGATGGGACACATCAAGTGGATAGGTACATCCCAGTGCATTCCTTTGTCCAGGGCTCCCCAATGCTGCTAAGATGGCCCTGAATGGGGGAGATGGTAGGGAAAAATACAGTAGCAACAAATTATGAGATGATAAGTTCCGGGTGCAATCACCCACCACCAACTCTGACAATGCCACAAAGTGCATATCCATGCTGGAGAAGAGGCAATAACTCAAGCAGTAAATGTACCTCATTTCTGGTGGTGAGGCTAAGAGCTTCAATTAATCAGGAAATGTACCAACCGCATCATAAGCTCTCCCACCCTTGCCAACGACCTTACTGGAAGCCAATTCCCATGCCTTAATTCAATAATTCATTTTGTCAGGGACAAATGTACTTTAGGCTTGTAACGAGGCCCCACTTCCCCAAGGTTGGTAGTCAAACTACCGACCCCCTCAGAATACAACCCAACAACAGTTCTTTAACTCACAGGTACCTATTTACTGCCAAGTGAACAGAGGCAGTAAATGAAAGGAAACATCCCTAACTGCTTCAGTCCTGACTAAGATAAATCCAAACAAATTAAACAAACAGGAAGCAGGTTTTACTACGTGTAATTGTTATAATGAACATGAACTATTATCATTTGATTGAAACAGAGAGACCAAATACCCTGTGCTTTCTTACACGTTAACACTTGGATGGTCCAACCTCTCTGCACGCTCCCAAATGTACAAGTTCCAGGCTCCCCAGGAATGTTTACACCGCCCCGGTCAGTGGTGTCCAGGCTCCCCAGGAATGTTTGACCGCCCTGGTCAGTGGTGTCCGGGCTCCCCAGGAATGTTTACACCGCCCCGGTCAGTGGTGTCCAGGCTCCCCAGGAATGTTTGACCGCCCCGGTCAGTGGTGTCCGGGCTCCCCAGGAATGTTTACACCGCCCAGGTCAGTGGTGTCCGTCTCCCCAGGAATGTTTACACCGCCCCGGTCAGTGGTGTCCGGGCTCCCCAGGAATGTTTACACCGCCCCGGTCAGTGGTGTCCGGGCTCCCCAGGAATGTTTACACCGCCCCGGTCAGTGGTGTCCGGGCTCCCCAGGAATGTTTACACCGCCCCGGTCAGTGGTGTCCGGGCTCCCCAGGAATGTTTACACCGCCCCGGTCAGTGGTGTCCGGGCTCCCCAGGAATGTTTACACCGTCCCGGTCAGTGGTGTCCGTCTGCCCAGGAATGTTTACACCGCCCCGGTCAGTGGTGTCCGTCTCCCCAGGAATGTTTACACCGCCCCGGTCAGTGGTGTCCGGGCTCCCCAGGAATGTTTACACCGCCCCGGTCAGTGGTGTCCGGGCTCCCCAGGAATGTGTGACCACCCCGGTCAGTGGTGTCCAGGCTCCCCAGGAATGTTTACACCGCCCCGGTCAGTGGTGTCCAGGCTCCCCAGGAATGTGTGACCACCCCGGTCAGTGGTGTCCAGGCTCCCCAGGAATGTGTGACCACCCCGGTCAGTGGTGTCCGTCTCCCCAGGAATGTTTACACCGTCCCGGTCAGTGGTGTCCGTCTCCCCAGGAATGTTTACATCGCCCCGGTCAGTGGTGTCCGGGCTCCCCAGGAATGTTTACACCACCCCGGTCAGTGGTGTCCGGGCTCCCCAGGAATGTTTGACCACCCCGGTCAGTGGTGTCCGGGCTCCCCAGGAATGTTTACACCGCCCCGGTCAGTGGTGTCCGGGCTCCCCAGGAATGTTTGACCACCCCGGTCAGTGGTGTCCGGGCTCCCCAGGAATGTTTGACCACCCCGGTCAGTGGTGTCCGGGCTCCCCAGGAATGTTTACACCGTCCCGGTCAGTGGTGTCCGGGCTCCCCAGGAATGTTTGACCACCCCGGTCAGTGGTGTCCGTCTCCCCAGGGATGTTTGACCACCCCGGTCAGTGGTGTCCAGGCTCCCCAGGAATGTTTACACCGCCCCGGTCAGTGGTGTCCGGGCTCCCCAGGAATGTTTGACCGCCCCGGTCAGTGGTGTCCGGGCTCCTCAGGAATGTTTGACCGCCCCGGTCAGTGGTGTCCAGGCTCCCCAGGAATGTTTACACCGCCCCGGTCAGTGGTGTCCGGGCTCCCCAGGAATGTTTACACCGCCCCGGTCAGTGGTGTCCAGGCTCCCCAGGAATGTTTGACCGCCCCGGTCAGTGGTGTCCGTCTCCCCAGGGATGTTTGACCACCCCGGTCAGTGGTGTCCAGGCTCCCCAGGAATGTTTGACCACCCCGGTCAGTGGTGTCCGGGCTCCACAGGAATGTTTGACCACCCCGGTCAGTGGTGTCCAGGCTCCCCAGGAATGTTTGACCGCCCCGGTCAGTGGTGTCCGGGCTCACCAGGAATGTTTGACCACCCCGGTCAGCGGTGTCCGGGCTCCCCGGGAATGTTTGACCACCCCGGTCAGTGGTGTCCAGGCTCCTCAGGAATGTTTGACCACCCCGGTCAGTGGTGTCCAGGCTCCCCAGGAATGTTTGACCACCCCGGTCAGTGGTGTCCAGGCTCCTCAGGAATGTTTGACCACCCCGGTCAGTGGTGTCCGGGCTCCCCAGGAATGTTTGACCACCCCGGTCAGTGGTGTCCGGGCTCCCCGGGAATGTTTGACCACCCCGGTCAGCGGTGTCCGGGCTCCCCAGGAATGTTTACACCGCCCCGGTCAGTGGTGTCCGGGCTCCCCAGGAATGTGTGACTGCCCCGGTCAGTGGTGTCCGGGCTCACCAGGAATGTGTGACTGCCCCGGTCAGTGGTGTCCGGGCTCCCCAGGAATGTTTACACCGCCCCGGTCAGTGGTGTCCGGGCTCCCCAGGAATGTGTGACTGCCCCGGTCAGTGGTGTCCTGGCTGTCGTCAAGCCATTTAGTTGCATGTCTTTGAACCTTTTCTAGTTTGATGTTGTGCTTCTTGAGATATGGGCACCATACAACTGCTGCATATTCCAACTTTAGTCTCACAATAGGTTATGAATGATTTCTTTAATATTTGGCCATCCAGGTACAGTATTCAACCAATGTATTGCTCCTTAGTTACATGTGATTCTCATGGTAGTTGGAAAAAATTATTCCCTCCAATTTTTCATCTTCTAATGTCGTTAAAATGCATTATCTGATCATGGGAACAAAAAAATAAATATATTGTACAGGATGCACATGATTTACTTTGGCCATGATGGAACAGAGAAGTTTAGCCATTTATGGGTGCTGAATGGTGAGTCACTCGGCCACACTTTCACCAGTGTGGAGCGTTAGTTGCTGCAAAAATAATTTGTAAAATTATTTCATTGTTTCCGAATGCTTTTTTAATCTAGTTTATCTTTTTGCAATAATATTATTAAAGAGTATGTAATTTTTGGAATATCTATGGTTAAATGTGTGGAGCTCAGCTACGCTTAAATATATGGTGCTCATATTTAGTGACTCATTCAAGTCTTAGAAGAATAAAACACAGTTTTTGCTGTTATTACACTACACACACATTTTATACAACAACATTTTTGTACAGGGAGCCGGTCGGCCGAGCGGACAGCACGCTAGACTTGTGATCCTGTGGTCCTGGGTTCGATCCCAGGCGCCGGCGAGAAACGATGGGCAGAGTTTCTTTCACCCTATGCCCCTGTTACCTAGCAGTAAAATAGGTACCTGGGTGTTAGTCAGCTGTCACGGGCTGCGTCCTGGGGGTGGAGGCCTGGTCGAGGACCGGGCCGCGGGGACACTAAAGCCCCGAAATCATCTCAAGATAACCTCAAGATATTACACCATAATGAAGAAATAAGCCTGTATGGCAAGTTATGATCTGACAACCACGACCCAAGGTCAGCTTATCACCACAGCTGCTCGGTATCGGCAAGTGCTGCAAAGATATCCTTACACAATGATTTCAATCACTCTCAATGTTGACTTTTTATCTAGTTTTTTGTAGTAATATTATTCAATACTGTGTAATTTGAGGTATTTATATAGTTAATTGTGTAGAACATCGCCATGCTTAAAAATAGGGTGCTCATATTTAGTGACACATTCTATTCTTAGAACAATAGAAGTGTTTTTGTTATTACACTATATATATACAGTACACGCATCATACATAGCTGTGTGTGTGTTTAGAAATAACAAACCGCTAAGTAATTCTGGTAGGCGTGGTAAAAATCTTAATACAGCATAGAGCTACACTCTATTACCAGCTGACTTCAGCATACGATGGCACCTGATGCAGCAAAATACCCAGAAATATACTATACACATTGCTATTACTATCAGAGTCCTGTCACTAAATCAAGAATACAAATCATTTTCCACATAAATATTTCCTAAAGGAACAAGAGGTTGCACAGATGCACAAAACCTCGGCCGTGTGCTCTGAATGTCTGCCTCCCGTTGTGAATAACATAGATGTGTGTTCACTGATATCTAAATCTTATATATAGTGGTTATTAGTTATGATCACCTATGTAGCTATCATTGCAGTTGCTTATTTTATACATTATTAAGTGGTGCTATAGCCCCGACTTGCACAGCTTGTACTTGGTCTACATGCCTTAGTCATTCTGGCAGTACTGAGGCTCTCGCAGCCAGGCCTCGACCAGCACAACTGGTACTTGGTCTACATGCCTTAGTCACTCTGGCAGTACCGAGGCTCTCACAGCCAGGCCTCGACCAACACAACTGGTACTTGGTCTACATGCCTTAG